CCATCACCTACTGCATATTCACAGAAAGTCTTTAAGATGACCTTGACAGCAAGGGATTTTTATCAAGACTTTCAGATTTAAAAGTGAAATAATAATGCACTTATTAGTGACCACTAAGTAGGTTATTTTCTTGCTTCTCTGACCTGACTTTGTCTTGTCTGCAAATTTTCTGGGACAGAAAGCAAAGTATCCAAGTTCATCACCTCAGTAAAGAGGGTATTTCCTGGAGCATACAGAGTGCATGACACACGTGGAATCCCTCACAGGACTACAGGACCTTCTTTTGGAACACAATTACTTTTCTTTTAGAATAATAGGTCATTTCATTTTCCCTGTTATCATGCTCTTTTATGTGGATTTACTAAATACTGACAGGCTCGTGTTCTCCATTCCCTTCCAGTTCCTCTGCCACCTGCTGATGAGAAACATGAAATAACTCCTGGGTAGCCAAACTCACAGAGTCACAGAGTATTTTAAGTTGGAAGGGACCCACAAGGATCATCCAGTCCAACTCTTAAGTGAAATGTCCTGTATGGGGATCAAACCTGTGACCTTAGCATTATTAGCACCATGCTCTAACCAACCGGGCTAACCTCATTTTTGGCTAGTCTGCAAATCTTTTACTATTTCCAGTCCTACAAAGGGACATGTTCAACAAGGGGCAGATTTTCCCAAATGCAAAAGTAAAGTTACACATCATTGAAGGAAAAAGAATTGAAACTGAACATCTGGATATCTGAACACCTTCTGTTCATTAGCAGGCTCAGGTTTATCTAGAGCACTTTTTGCTCCTAAAATCTTCAGGCAGAATTCCACAAACACACTTTTGAGTATGCAATCCTGCCCCCTCTATTATACTTCTGACATGCTACTCCCAGTCCATTAATGACTGTGTTGATCCATACTGGGCTCAGGAGTCATCATTGCAGAACCAGCGGTGAACTACTCACAGCTTGTCTTTCGCTATGGCTCTTCAACAAGTTATTCAGATCACCTTAGAGTACTCTTAAGTAAAACCCACTTTGCCTGTGGGAATTCCATGGAGGACAGTGTTCAGTGCTCATTAAGGCCCCGTTCTACCAGAGTTATTACTTCTGCATGCAACACTGGAAAGAGCATGCCTGTATGCAAGCACCTCCTCAGCCAACTTTTGCATGCACACACTGACATGGGTTACAACAAAGACCATAAGGACTATGAAGAAAGTGACCTCAAGTGGGGATGAGTGTAAGGAAGGTGAAAACAACATCTGTTCCAATGAGAATCAGATATTTCATTAATGAATGTTTTGGGAGCCTAAAGATAGTATCAATGCACACTAAAAGACATGTTTTATGAGACTCAAATTTCAGTTGGCAGTATATTGCAAATATTTACTGGCCTACAAAGTAGCTGAGATGTTCCATAAAGGCAAAACAGACCTCTATAGTACAGAATTAGTATTCAGAGAAAGGGATTTGCTTGTTCACAAGTTTCCACTGTATCTACAGATTTACTTACTTTTCACACTAGACAGCTGCTGGCAATTCTACACCTCGCTTTTTCTGAATCATAAATTTTATGGAATTATTCTGCTTTCTCCAGAAAAAATATGCAAAGCCAAGTAGATGGTTTCCACCCTTTGCCAGGTCATAAGTATGGTGTCATCTTTCTTTCCACAGGTACACCCTCAGCTTTTAGAGCACAAGCAGGACTGGAGAAAAGGAGTCTTAGGATGATGAAGAAAGATCCAAATTAAAATAAGGACTCATTAATTCTATATTATAGGCCTAGAAGTTCCTGTTCTCTTTCACTTTCCTTCACATATACAATGACTAGATTTGTACCCATAGGAAAACTTCCAGTTGAAGGCATCAGTAAACTACCAGAACCAACAGAACAAACTACTTTGAAGTCTAACACATAGGGTGCCAATGTCCCAACAGAAAGATTTATCAAACTATAACTGGCATTAAGACACACCAGTTTCTTTCATTAGGGACTGATAATAAAACAATGCCTCCCACCACAGCTTTTGGCTCCTCAGTTGTTCGCTTTCCTTGGGGACTGCGTACATCAACAGGCTGGAGCAGCACTCAGACACACCTCTCCCAAAGAGAATTAAAACACTACCCCAGCTATTACTGCAGTGTTAATCTGACCTTCCCCTACCCAATGCAAGTGAATTCAAAGCTGTTCTTCAAGACCTCTCATCCAGAGCCCTACAGCACATAAACTTTCTAGACAATAAGGGCAGAGAGAATAATGCCCGGGGAGTGCAGAGTATAAATACACTGAACATGTGAGAAGCAGATTGTATCAGGAGAAGGAACAGAATGTGCCAAATAAAAAAGCCCCCCAAAAAAGTTGGGTGTGGAGAACTGGAATCACAAAAACCAACCCATACAACTAAATCCTGAGTTGTTAATAGGGTGGAATAAAAAGCAAATGGAACTGTACAGAAGTGAGAATGTGACACAGTAATTCATGAAAACAGTTCCTAACAGAATTAGGAAAAAACAACAAAACACGATTTAATATGACTTTGAAGAGAGAAAATATGAGAAAATTTTTTTCTTTTGCTTCTAAACTGCTTAGTTTTTCTCTACTTTAACACACTTACAAAAGATTTCCACAGTCTACTCCATCTGTAAGCAATTCCAGCGCTCTAACATGTGACATCCATTTTAATCATTGTTAGGGAAAATGGGAAAGGCCATTTTCTTCACTACCCCTGCACTTTCCATAGTATTCAGGACAAGAACACACACACTGTAAGGTGCTTTCAAGCACAGTGAATGTTCTCTGCTGGTAATGACTATGTTTGCTGTCTTATTAATGAAAAGGAGTATTGAGTGATACAACATCTTTTATATATAGCAGCAGCAGCAGCCTCGTGTCCCTGTAAGATACGACAGGTGCTGTGCCACATACTGAAATTATTCAGACAGCAAAGAATGGACAAAGCAAACCTGAATAGGCATTAGTCATACTGGTGTCTCCAGCCTTGGTATGGCTTACAGCACCATGTCATCTTCAAGGCCTTCCTACCAAAACCCTTCTGTAGCCACAGAGGTAAAAAGCTACACAGATACTGCCATGACTTCAACACAGATGTCAGAGCACACCATGTGTGATGTTGCTCACTGGGCTTTTTTTGCTCTGTAGTTGCATGGGACACACATAGACCTACTCAATTTTGAAGCAGAATCGGTGGCAAAGGGGTTGTGTGTCATTTAGGGATCCAAGATCAAGCTGCGCTCTGGATCATCACCTATGTAGCCTGAGGTCCTGTTTTGAATTTTGCAGCATGAAGTCACAAAGTACTTTCAGACTGGAAAACCAAATGTGAAAGCAAGCCTAAGACCTTGCACTTGAAACTACTGATGGTGCTGATGCTGACAGGAACACAGGTACATCCTACAGCTGGCTCATACTCATAAAAGCAATTGTAAGAAAGGCAGGGAAAAGATAGCATGGAAGCTGTAAAGATCATGACTTCAATCTGGATTTTGTATCAGTGTTGCAGCTTTGCTGCAGCCGAATACCCAACAAATATAGATGAAATCTTTGCAGTTTATGTATATGATTAAATAGGTTTAATCAAGGAAGCTTGATTTCTATTTTAAAGGGTTTTTTACTGAACAGGCTAAGAACACTGTACTCTGCAAATCCCTTGGGAGTATTGACAGAGTGCTGGCTTCACTTAAGCAAACTGCAGGAGCACATTTCTAAAACACACACGCCAAGGAAGGGCATGGTAGGCTGCCATTGCCTCAGACATTACAACAAAGTTTATTTATGCAGAATCAAAGGAAATGTCAGTGGAGAGCACAGCAATGAAAATGATGACTGATCTTGACTTCTGACCTCTTTGTTTTTATTGTCTCTGACCTTTCCACTTAAACAGACTTGAAACTCAGCCTATGGTCTTCATTCTGCAATATTTTGAGTGCGCTCAGCATTTTGAGGTGCTTCTGGGATGTGCTGAACAGATTATACCATCAAATCCAGATTTAGGTAATGTCTGTGATAGAAACCATGTCCAAATCATTACTCGTTAGCTGCTAAAGGGAGGACTTGCTGTTACTGTTATCCTCTTTTTATGTCAAGCTGATGGTGCTCTGTTTCTCAAACCTGTTAAACATCTGTTGTCATACGAGAAACTCTGTGACTTAAAGCATTTATTATGGTGCTGACACAATGTGTCTGTGCATTCAAACCAATGTGAATACCTTACTTAGAAAACAAAAATTGTGGTTGACCAGCCCATGTTTAACAATAAAGGTCCAGTATGCATGCATTCAAGGTTGGAACACAAAATAGCAAACACTGCTTTAGCTATTAGAGCAAAGTATGAAATCACAGAGAATTAATAACTTCTATCATACCTGCAGAACAGATAATTCATATAATAAGTACTTGGCCATAGGGGAAAATGAACACACTAAAATCCTACATATTAGAGAAACCTTTGAAAGCAACATTGTATTTGATGGAAAAATAAAGGTATTAGGTGTTCACAAACAATATCCAGTAAGTAAAACACATGAACAGGAGATAAACAGTGCATCAGATGAATTACTCTGCAAATATAGTCTTACCATATTCCTTCCAGAAGTATGAAAGAAATTAGAAATGGTCATTGGATACTTTTTTAACCACATCAGGGCTACTAATGATGAGAACTTTAAACACTTGTGATCACAGGCTGTGATTGCATACTGTTCCTCAAGCCAACAAGCAGTTAACTCACCACTTCATTTACTTGGGTCTTTGAACCTTTACTGGGACAGCACATGGAAATGAAAATTGAATAGGGCAAGTAAGAGGTTCAGACTTCAGTATTAGCTTTTGCTTTCATAATGCAGCTAAAAGAATGTAAGGACATATTATTTTAGTAAGCAGTAATAGATAAAAAAAACATTTATCTACTTAACTGAACCCTTGAAATCTGTTTAAGAAAATTAATCCACTGACTTACAGTTTGTTTTACTCTGAAATAAACAAATTTCACTTACCATATATTCCATGTTGGAAGCAGGTGGGAAGACTTTGCCTCTGACTTGATTATGATAATCAAGAATGGCAATCATGTCATTCTGAGAAATGTAGCGCTTCCGCCTGGCTTTGGGAATTTTTGCAGAGTCCAGATGAGCTGCCAAAGCCGTCTCAATGTCAGGGAAATTATTTTCTGACAGGAATAGGTCAGTGGAGTTGGGTAACACTAATGCACTTGTTTCACAGAGAACGGAAAATAACAGAGTACAACTGATTGCAGCAATTACTGTCATTTTGGGGCCAAAGGAGAGAGATAGGCCACAGAGGTACTCTGCTTTAAGTCAGGGCAGCAGAAAACAGATCTGTAGAAGAGAAGATGTCAAAAATGTGATTCTGTATATCTGGATAGCAAGACAAAATGAACCGGCAGGCTGTAATCAAAAAAATTATTCTGTCTTTCAGCTCAATCATAAAAACAATCCAATCAAAACACGTGTTGCTGAGCAGTTTTCAATAACTGTAGTGATAATAGTATTCTTACTAAACACACCAAATGAAGTATCACTATACCATTAATTTCATGATCACATCTAGTAGTATTCCTGAAATAGTGACAGTTCTATCACACCAGATCAGTCTATAAACCACACTATAAATCTTTAATGGGGAGACTGCAAGAAACCTCACATCATGTTTTCCACTGAAAGTGAAAAAATACATCCTAGCCTATGCCTATTCCATAGGGATGGATTGTTTTGGCACAATGTGGCAGAGACAAACTCGTAGGCAAAAGAAAACATATAAAGCATGAAAGCAGGACATCTGAGAAATAGCATTCAAATCTTAAATTCAGCAAAATGTGATGAGCATTGAAAAAACTGCATGCAAAGCAAACTTATGGAGCTGAATGGCTTACCTCTGGATAATACCAAGAAAAAAAAAAAGAACTGAGTCTATTGTTCTCCCAGTATATATAGCACTCTCCTATGTGATGATATGAACCTTTGTGAAGGAGTGTCTCTTATTACAACGCCCCAAAGGACTCTAAACTCTGCTAGTTGTGAAGCTTCTGGCCAGGGGCGCTGCTAACAGCTTTTATATGTTACAGCCTGTGAAAGCCAGTACGGGCAGTCTCTCAGAGGGTCTCTCTCAGCCAAGGCGGGCGGGAGGGGCTCTGCTAGCACACGGCAGCCATTGGGTGGCACCCCGGAGGGTGGGTGCTTTGGGGACTCAGTCACACCCCCGGCTACCGGAGCACAAAGAGGCAACGTGCAGGGCTCTTTTTTCCTTACTTCCTACCTTTTTTCCTTTTTTTTTTTTTTTTCCTTCCCCCCCCTTCCCCCCTCCCTCCGTGTTTGTTTCTTTCCTCGTTTCCCGAGCATCATACTGACTCAGTGAACGCTGTTTTACGCAGCTCCACGAGCCCGCACGGCGCATTTTGCAAACCTGAGATTGTTGTCTCAGCCACAGGAAACGGAACCCGTGCAATGCCGTCCCCCCGGCCCGGCCCGGCCCGGCCCGACCCGTCCTGGCCCCCGGGCAGCGCGGCGGGGATGTGCCCGCATCCCCCGGGCCGAGGAGGGCGGGCGAGGGGCAGCGCGGGCGAGCGGCCCCGCTCCGTTCATCTCCGGGCACGGGCAGCACCCCGAGCCGCCGCTCCCCCCGCCGCTCGCCCCCTACTCCTCCTCCCTCCCCCGCTCACCCTCCCAGGCACAGGCAGAGCTCCGGCCAGGTCGTGGCTGTCCCATTGCAGTTACCTGAACGTCTGCTCGGGGGAAGCTACGGGAGCAGCAGGACCGAAAGCTCACGCCAGGGAGACATGTGTTTCCCATTAACTAGCCTATAGCTGGAATTATTTAAGCACAGGAAGGGTCCAGCCACTCACACAGCAGAGCTAAGGGCATAACACTGAGACCATGACGAAAGCGAGCAGAGAGAAGCAGCAAAAGCCAGCAATTGTGTAGTAGGGACAGCGGATGGGAGCTATACAATGTCAGGCTGATCCCCCGCCGGGGCTGGACGATTTGGAGCAACCCGTAAAATGAGACCCTTCAAAGTGTAATTACAATATTTTGTGACATCATAAAGGAGCTAGGAGGGAGAAACACAACGGGTTTGATATTACACCAAAACTTACAGAGTGCTCAAAAGTTTCAGTAGCTCTATTTGAGGAGCAATATGGGAATTAAGTAGTAAGGAAGTGCAGTCCAATAGTTGGAGCATAGGGCTGGTAGCCAACACTCACGCTCTCCTTTTGGCTCTGCTACTTACTTGCTGTGTGGCCTAACCCAAACCATTTAATCTCTGTGTGCAATCTCTACAGCTGTATAATAGTCTTCTACAGACATGTTGTAAGGCTCAAATAACTAGTGTTTGATAATGTACTTTGTGATGAAAGGTGTTAAGTAAGTGTATAGTATCATCGCTAGTTAGATTACTATGTATACCCAGCCTGTCCAAAACTGCTACTTATAGCTGCAGGTATTTCTTTACATGATTATACAAGAAACTTGAGCACATCATTTGTCTTTGCAGGACTAGATGTTGTATGATTCAATTCATCCAGTTTTCTTTCTTCTGAAATGAAGTGCATATTTTTTTATGTTAATGTCAAGAACTGTCTTCCCATTGTTTGAATATAATAACATGTCTCTTCTCCTTTGAATTGCTGCAGGTCCTTTGATTTCATCTGAGCTGCAATAAGTTATAAAAGGGAAGACACCAGCTTAACATGTCAGGAAGTTGAGAGGGTAGATTTTACTAGTTAGTCACATTTTAGATTGCAGTAATTATTTCCTCATACTCACCCCGTAACAGTACCTGGAGGCTGTTACAATACAGGGTACTATACAGAACAGATAGGATATACAAGCAAATGTAAAATAGCCATAGCATTCACAGCTGTAAAATTGAGCTGTACTTCCATATGAACAGACCAGCTTATGAGAGAATTCTTTTGCTTCCCTTACCACTTGATTATTTGTTTCCATGTCAACAGTCAGTGTAACTACTATCTAAATGTAGAAAAAATGGTATTTATTCACAAGCATTCTTGCAAAAAGTATGTTGTGAACATGAAAGGTGTTTAGAGCATGAGACTGTCTTGACCCAAGCCTGTTGTACCGGGAAGTTGTCAAATAAGAAGCAGTTACAAATAGTGAAAGAGCAATAGCAACTCTCAAGCTTGACAAGACCATAGACAATCAGACACCCATGTGCATTCAGTTTTCTTCTGGAAGAGTCAGTCACCAGACATACAGTGAAATTTAGCAAGACCAATGAAGCCACACTAAAGTCTTCATGAAGGTCCGCGCCAAGAAGAGGAATGTCTAAAATGAAGAAGAATGAAGAAAAAAAAAATCAGAGATGTTTGCAAGGAGAAAAATAAGAGATGGATGGAACCATCTGCAACATATACAAAAAAGAAGTTTCCCGACCCTTCAGCCCACGCATGAAAGACAAAAAGAATAACCAGATCAGTGACGAAACATTACAGGCCAGACAGAGACATTAGTGAGACCGGAGAATGAGTCAAAATATCTGTAGACCTAATTAAGAACAGAATGTGGAGCCTAGGCAGCCACAACACATTTAGTGAGCAGCCTGGGGAAAAAAAAAAAAAAAAAAAAAAAAAAAAAAAAAAAAAAAAAAAAAAAAAAAAAAAAAAAAAAAAAAAAAAAAAAAAAAAGAAAAAAAAAAGAGGTAATACTTCTTGTACTTAATGTCAGCAAATGTTACTGATATTAAAAAAGTTATATGATCAAGAATAAGAAAGAATGTTGAAGAAACTGAGAAAGAAAAATAACTCAGTTTGTCTTCTGAAAGACTCAGTTCTAGGATATGGATTAGATGTCAAGGTTTCACTGGAAAATATCAACATT